GGACCGTTTTCTTTTTATAATACTAACGTAACATAGAACAGGTTGCATAAGTCGTATAGAGAGAAAATCGAAAGCGACCAAACGTTTTTGTCTGTTTGTTCCACCTGCGCTTTATGTCTTTCTCTCTCTCTCTCTCTCTCGTTTTTATGTAATGGTTCTGAATATACATATATATTCAAGAGAGTCGATCACTCATCAGCTCCATCATCTGATTTATTTTTACAGAAGAAGAGAAGAGAAAAAAAAAGAGAACAGACTATTCGTGCGTAGTAACGGGCGCGATGTAGGCAAGTTCACTTGTTCACACACATACACATATACATAGACATAAGAAAAAAGAGTGTGCTTTTGTAGTTCAAGGTGCGAATTAAAATATAGAAGATTGGGCACAATTAGCATAATTGGCACGATATTTCGTAGACAAAGATACAACTTTGCATATAGATCTGTATAATAGAAATAAAGCTTCACATTAAATTGAATAAAAAATCTATCATTTGATCAAAAAATCATTATTTCATTATTAGTAGCATTTGATTGTGACTTCATAAAACTTACCTATATTATTCTATACATTTTCAAATAATAAAATGTTTATCAAGACCATCCATAAAATGACACTTAAAACCGAACGAACACCATATGTTCATTACGTAATATAATGTACAAATTTTCAAAGTTATGATCAAAAGAAGATCTATTCAATTGAATCGATTAGAAACAACTGGTTGCTCTTTTTATCAAAGACTTGACAGTTGTAATTATTTACTCACATATTTCATGATCTATAAAGATGTATCATGAATAAGTATTTTTTTTTTATTTTACACACCGAACTATATCTCATAAGACTTGACAAATTTTTATATACCTTGAAGGTAGAAAAGAATATACATATATAGCTTTATATGAATACTTTATTCACATTGCTGTCGTATTATTTATTGATTTTCTGATAACGATATATGATCGTATAGTTAAAAAGTTGTCGGCTTTTCTTTTTTTTTGTGATCTCTCAATAATAGCCCATTGTCAGAATATTGAAGTTAGTCAATTCTTAACTGATTAACAAGAGCTCGAAGGCAATATCGTCTTTCATGTACAGCTGTTCACAAAAAAAAGAAAACTTACACAAAATTAAGCCTTTTTTTTCTAGTGTTTTCATATTGTATAAAACTAGTATAGACTTCAGTTTTTTTTGTGATAATTTTTCGACAGATGCACTGAGACATGAACACATAAATGTGCGGTTGTTTTCCATGTAGATGCGTAGAAGGTAAATATGTCCAGCTTCTCTTTCTCTCTTGAAAAACTGATATATTTTCACATTACATAATTGAAACAAGGACGTGAGATAAGCTGCTCTTGTGAACACATGAAACAACGATTACGATACAGACTGTGTATTTATAATATCAACAAATTGAAGCAAATAATTTAGTTGAGAAACTAAGTCGAACTGATCGACATCATGCTCTTATTTTGAAAGAAAGAAGAGTTAATTGTTAATATAGTTATTAGAATAATGAAATAATTTGTTCAACAAATCGATGAAAACCTATGAAAAATGTGTCGAAAATTCGTAAAAAAAAACAAAATTATTTCGCCATGTATTTATTTGTTTCATTTATTTCATTAAAAACCCAGAAGTGTTTGAAGCAGTAATTTCGTAAAAAATTTTACATTGTCCATAAAAGTGATATATTTCTGTTCTTTATTCCAATGATGAATGAATATAGTACGAGACGGTTAGTCTCTTCTGTGGCCTATAATTCGAGAAACGAAACAGTTCAATCAAAAAAGTAAGAGATGCAAGGTTTTCTTTACAAACTTTAATAAAACTATAGGACAATGCAATATTAATTTAAGCTATAATGATTATTGCCTTGTTTGACAAATTTGATTTGCTACAATCAAAGCACTTTAATCATACATGATGAAAAGCATCCATCTATGATTGGGTTTGGTTCTGAACTCAATCTTTTTCACGAACAAAGTGTTTGGTTACAATTATTATTTGTTTGCTATTATCAGTTATCAAAAAAGAAAACGAAGATTTGATTTTTTTGTATTATTAGGAGAAAAAACGCCATAGTCAAAGTCGATGTGAAAGTTAATAGTACGTGGAATAAGGAAATCTAAATACATTTTTCAGGTTAATAATATATGTACGTCGTGCCTACATACTCAAGTTATATGTTAAGTTTAAACCTCATAAGACTGTATATAAAAAAGCGAATTATTGGCTTTTATTTATCATATTAGTTGAAGATTTCTTCAAGAACATATAAGTGAAAGCAGTGGTTGCCCTTTCAATGTCACACATATTCATAAAATATGTATCGAAGATTGTAATTTTTTTAAGATGTTGTGATGAATTTAGTACAATAGATGATATTTTATGTGCTAATATATTTACTTCTTATCTGGCAAGTCTCAATTTGAAGATAACACAAAATATTAGTATATAAATTTATTTTTCTATAAATATTCAAGATCTTTATTGTCACTAGATACATGTCAGAATCAACTGACAACTATTCATGACGAGTAATTAGGTATTAATGTAATTTGTGTTACTCGATGAGCTTCCAAAAAGTCTGATGAATCATTGACGAGTAAGAAAATAATGAAGTGTCTAACTTTTGAGTGTCTTGAGAAGGATAATCCTATCTTACATGGTTATTATTAGTGTTATAGGAGTACACGATGAAATAAAGTTCGAGTATTGATGATGAAAGAAATCATCAACAATCCATTGACACTACCTTGTTATTCATGCCATTGTAGTAATCATCTTAATACACTTGCTGATGCAATTGAAGATTGAACCACATGTGAAGAAAGTACAATAATCTTTTTTTCTTTTTATTATGTTAGATTTGTAAAGAAACAGACCTATTACACGAGTCGTTGTTATGCATCGAATCGTTGTCAAAGTGCAGAAATATATTTCGTAATACATTTTATCAGTGCCATATGTGAAAAAGCTTGTAAGTCAATA